CCTGAAATCTTGCAGCAGTTTGAGGTAATGCTAGAAGGACAAACTGAAGGCAGACCTCACAAAAACAGATGCTGACACCAAAAGTGGGAGAACCTGGCTGTTAGCCAACTCCAGTACTGCCATAATCTCATCCAAGTTGCAGCCCATTTTGAGGTAAATCATCTTGCCCTCAAAGCAGAGAATAGAGATCAGAGTAAGGAAAAGGAAAGAAAAACCAACCTATAGCTTACTTTCCCCTATGAAAAGACCTGCAACTTCTGTGGATGGATCTGTGGCTCAAGAGATTGGACTCTTAAGTCACCTAAAGACCCATTAGCAAGCCGTGGTAGAGGTCATCCTAGAATCAAGGGATTGCCAATGATAACACTTCACAAATCACTTTTACTCTTCTACCCTTCACTTCCACCCTTTCACAATAACACAGACGATTGTGAAATTTGCAACTGCCTACTTAGAATAGCTTCTTGTGCAATATAGCAGCTGGAAAGGAAAAGCCTACAACATGTGACAAGCCAGCCCTTACGGACCACAAAAATTATTCTGTTTACAACACAGAAATGTTGAGTTTTGGTAATTTGTGAGCCGCTTAATCTAATAAGGAAAGCATTAAAAGGTGTTTTAAGTACAGTTTAAATGGAACATCTAGTGTTTGTCATCAATCCTTACATAATCTCTGAATAGGACCCAAACAAATTCACAGATTTGTGTTTTCTCCTTGGTTTATATACAGCTTTTTCCACTGCTAGAATATATTTCAAGTCCTTCAATCAGTTTCTGCAATACAAAGTGTGACAGTTTTCCTCAACAAAAGGATATATATTCTAGGTAGCCAGATGTCTGTACAAACACCTTTTAATTTTATTTTTCTGTCTATATTTTTAAACTACTCGTCATTCTCTACAGATATACTTTTTTAGTAAAAAACTGTAATATTGATTTTTAGGAAACTGACGAGGCTCTTGATATACACTTTTCATACTTATATATTGTTAAGTTGTTTTTGTTTGGTAATTATTATTTATTTGGTATCATGCTTATGTGATCACAAACAGCATGTGATCATATAATTAAAAACAGCCTCATAAGGTACACACAAACTTAAATTAAAGTTGCAAAGCAAACTAACATGCAGGCATTTCCTAATATTTGAATGTTTCCGTTTGCAATCTAGGTCGTGTGTAGACGAAACAAGAGGTGTGTGTGCACGACACCTTAAAGCAGGCTAAATGCTTTTGCATTGCTTTAATGGTGTCAATGTTTTCATGCTCGATGCACCTTAAATGACTTGGGGTACAGCTCAAGGAGGTACTCCCTTGGGGTACTCCCTCAAGGAGTTTTAGTTTGCTGCCCCTACAGCCGCAGAGCAAAGCTCTGGACTCTGTGCAGCTCCACGGCTCTTCAGGAAGCCCTGCAGGCAGCCTGGCAGCAGCCCGGGAAAGCAGGCTCCACGCATGAAAAGCGGCGAGCCTGATCTCCGCGCTCCCCCCCTCCCCCCCAGAGCCTGCCTGCGTACCTGAGCTACATGCTACATGGGGGCCTGGTGGTTCCCTCTGTGGCTACAGTGCCCCCTGGGTTTTTAAAATCCACCACTTCAATTTAGGGCTCCCGTTTCATTTACACATGCCCTTATATAACTACTTTAATGTAGCTTCTAGTAATGCAATTTTTTAAAGTGAAAACAAACTCATGTGCAACTATCAGACTTATGCCACATCAGGCCACAGAACTAAAGGTGTTGTTGCACATTAATCTAAATATGCATTAAGGGCCCTTAAACCAGGAGTTTCCACATATTAGGGCAGGGAAACATGTGCTAAGGGCCTTCTGAGTGGCTCAGAAATAATCCTCTTCCATCACAGATTACCTCTAACTGGTTTTGGGCAGCTCGTGTTGCAGTCATGTGCAACTGCTTCTTAGGCACAAAACCAGTTGAGAGCAATTCTCCAGCACCCCAGGAGGCATTGCAGCTAGCCACTCTATCTTCCCCCACAGAGATAGCACAGAAGTAGCTAAAGGTAAGAACCCCCTTCCCCTCCCAGTCCAGGCTCTTCCTGGCCCCCAGTGCTCCCCCCAGCCCCAGGGCTCCTCCCCTGCCACTTGGGACCCCCCTCTGCCCATCCCCCTTGCTCTTCAGGGCTCCCCCACTCTTCCCATGTGCCCCAGTTTATCTGGACTGTCAGCACTGTCCCAGAGGAGCAGACAGGGAGAGGGAATTCACATGCCTGACCATGGCCATCACCACTGCCACTGGACCACTCCTACTGTCTGGGCTCAGCCCAGCCCAGCCCAGAGAGCAGCAGCACCACAAGTGTCAGGTGGGTTCCTCTTTCCTGCTTATTCCATCAGGACAGTCCTGGAGCTGCAAGTGAGTCAGAAGCTGCTAGGGGGGCAGTGAGTGGGGATTTGGGAAGCACAATGAGTTTCATCTGGGCCAGTGGGGGAGAGCAGGTAGCAGTGCGCCTAGTGCGGCGGGGGGTGGGGGCACCTGCTGGCTTAATCCAAGCAGGTGTGGGGGCAGACAGCACCTGCCCCTACCCAGATCAGGGATGCCACACCACACCACTCACCCCCACCCCTCGCTAACCCAGATTGGGCCAGCCCTCCCCTGAACCCCCAGATTGGGCCTATCTCCCCCATATCCCAGCTCACTGTCCCCATACAGCTCCCAGTCCCAATGGAGCATACAAGGAAGAGGAACCTGCCTTCTGCTGGTGCTGGTGCCACTTTGTAGACTGAGCTCAGCCCAGAAAGCAATAGCAACCAGGTGATGGTGGTGGCAATGGGAGTGGTGGGTTCCTCTTCCCTGCCTCCTCCCTTAGGACAGCACCAGCAGTTCAGGTAAGTAGGGGGGCATAGGGGTAGGGCGGAGCTGCAAGGGCCAGGGGGCAGAGGGAGAGCCCCAAGGGGCAGGGAGTAAATCCTGGGGTCAGGAGACAGGAAGCAGGGGGACAGCAGCCAGCTTGATCTGGGCTGGCAAAGGGACCATGTAGGGGCAGTGAGCTAGATCTAGGAGTACAGGGGGCAGAAGGGATCCAGTCAGGGCAGGCAGGGCCTGGCATGCCCAATGGGACCCTGCCCACCCCCCAGCTGCTCACAATCTGGGCCACCTACCCTGCCCCAAGAGCAGACAAGATAGTCAGGCACAGGGACAATTTGGCTCCTAGCCTGCCCCTGCTTGCCAGCCCTCTAAGGGCAAATCAGAACAGTGAATGCTACAGGAAGCTACCCTTAATATGTGACTGCTCAAAGCATATGCTAAAATTAACAACAAATAAAATTACCACATACTAAGTGTAATGTGTAACAAGGAACTAACTACCTCAGATACTGTTATGGTCCCAGAGCTGCATCTTTGAGCAGGGGTAGGTTGGTAGTTGTGATAGTCTAAAGTCAGGTAGGTAGCAGGAGAGATTTGTTCTGGGCATTTCTGAATTAGTTAGTCTTTGAGGTGCAACTCTGCCCTGCCTTAGTCCTCTGTGTGAGTCTTCCCAAATGCTTTCACCTGGGAGATGGATGAGACTTCTTTTGCCTCTCTCACAGTTGGAACCTTGTGGTTCAATCACGGTTGCACTGGACCCCTACCAGCCTCCCTATTTTCCCACCATGTTAACACGGGAGGCCACATTATTTGACATGTACAAGACACTTACCTCTTGAAAGTTGTGACCAGCAGCTGCTTAGAGAAACTCAAAACTTCTTCTTCAAAAGGAATGTATTCATTATTCACTCAAAAGTACATAGCAAGCATAAAAGGGTTCTAAAAACCCCAAAATGTCTCCATACCCCTGTCTCATATAAAACTTATTATTTTCTTTAAAGCCCAGATCTGCCTCACTGCCCAGACCTATTCTGAAGGACCTGGGTCTCAGACCATCTGCTCTCCACACAACCCTCCCTCCCTTTCCATAGAGAGAGATTTTCACTTTTTATTTTCCCTTTGACCATGTGTTCATAGCCCTGGCAAACCAAATGTGCAACTGCCTGGCACTTGGAAACAGCATTTTTCCAATTAATGGAGTAGCCATTGTTTTCTTAACTTTCTTGAAGTTGTTTCTCCAAGATACCTTATCTCTTGCCATTGTTGATTTCTGATTGTGCTTTCTTGCAGCCAATTTTGAGTCAATCCCATATAATCAATCACACAGAATAGAAGCAACCAGGTAACTGGGGTACACATAAAGTTCAGAATAAAATGCCAAAGACATCTCCTTTATTCTCCACGTCTCATAACAAAAAAAGGATTTTTGTCCAGAATCAAGGGACAGGTCACTGAGGCAGGGTGCCAGGTCTGCAAAAACAGAAAGGTTCTCTCTCTTCTGTCTCCTCCAAAATCATCTCTCCATTTTATACACTGGTCTGTCCATGTCCTTTCACAGCATCTGATGAAGTGAACTCCAGCTCACAAATTTAGTTAGTCTATAAGGTTCAAATCTACCCTGCCTTCTGCTTGACTTCCGACAAACACAGATAAATACTTCTCTCTTCCTCTGGTTCCCAGTGCAGGATGCTCTGTTGCTGCTCCTTTCTCAGTTGCAGCAGGAGCCAGCCTTTGTATAATATTTGTGTTCAGTTAGCATTTTATCAGGCTTTCAACTTTAGTCAGAAAAACAAAAGAAAGAGAAAGGAAATATTGATTTATATATAATGTGTTTATGCTTTTAAACCAAGCTAGCATAGGTGTAACTGGGTAGTTTTGTGCCTAAGTAGTGGCAGTGCTGGGGCACTCACCCATCCAAGTCAGCATCCAGGGCTGGGTCCAGGGGTGACACGTAGTGGGTGCATGTGGGTGCATGTGCACCCCCTGAGCATGGCAGTGCACCCCCTACAAAAAGGTGCCACCGACATTGTTGGCGGCACCTGTGGGCAGTCGCTGCTCACCACCCCGCCACTGACACCACTGGTGGTGTCTGCAGACAGCTCACAATCCCTGCTGGCTGCTGCCAATGCTACTGGTGGTGTGTGCAGGTGGTCACTGACATGCCCCCCCCACCGCCGTCAATGCTGGCGGCATTTGCAGAAGCTCCACCGCTTACCACCCCCGCACTCCCACTGTCGCCGCCGCACAGCTACCACGCCCCCCAACCTGCCGGAGGCACACATCGTTCATGGCTAGGACCCATCTCAACCCTCCATTAGTTATGTGACTGTTAATTAGAATGTCATAGGACAAAAGACGAGGCTCATCACTACCCCAAGGGTTTTCTCCCTAGGAAACTGTAAACTATGAAGGCATTAAACCTTTTCAAAAAATGGTTGCTCCACCTTTATGAAGTATAAGGCACCCATCGTTTCCATAGCAGCTGTCACAGGTTTTCCCCTTCAGGGCTTCTTCTGCCTCTATGAAGTCAATCAGCTCAGCAAAATCTAAGTGGAAATCACAATGAATTATAATGAGTTTATGACTTTTTTTTAAAACAGCTGAATAGATTTGCATTTTTCTGTAAGCATTTTGAAAAACCAGCCATCACAACAGTAGTGCAAGCAGAACTAAAATAAACCATTAGGTCACAAACAGAAAAACGCTAAGAGTCAATAGCCCAAGGTAGGCATATAGATACAGAACACCATCTACAGTACATGAAACGTACTAATAGCTGTGGAGAAGCTGTCTAATGGAATAGACTTGTGGCTGAGGGTCCAGGAGATCCAATCTGACACCATTCCAAGGGTATCAGCATATGACTTCAAACACAGTATTAAGATATAGAAAACTTAATAGCTGTTTTCTGTTTTAGTGCAATGACTAGCGATAATCTTGAATTTAGAACTCATAAAGTATCTGTCGCCTTTGGCAACACTACTTTGCTGAGATCAAATACCTTAGTGGAGTGTGTCAAATAGGTCAGAGGCAGATGATAGTACATGAGAAATGCTAGTGCTTCCTTGAGAGCCTGTAAAAGAAAAAGAATATCTGAAATGAGAATCAGCATAAGGAAATTCACAGTCTCTAGATTGAAAGGCACTGTCATCCCTTCTACTCCTCCCATCATGCATTCTATCATTGAAAGGCATTCCTTGCCAGAAGTATGATTTTTATGGGAAGTGCTCCCTGGAGCAAGGCTCTAATGCAGGCTCTCAATATATGCACCAAAGCAAATAACCAGTTAATAGGCCTGAAATACAGAAAAATGCCACATCTGCTGCATTTTTGAAGTACTTAACATCTTTGTCACTATTTGTCTAGACAGTGACTGCAATGAGTTCTTGAGGGCTGGCCATGTGGCATGCCATGCAGTTCAGTAGCAGGGCAGCAAAAGTGTCTCAGCTTTTAGAACCACGAGGTGCTAGTCCCATCTTGTACAGAGTAAGCGGTCATGTTTCACTGCTTTGGACACTAAATTGACCTACGGAGTATTTGACTGTTAGCCTTGGGAGTAGGAATAGTTGATCACCCACCTAAGTCTGCTAGGTCCAAATCATTTTTTAAATTTAGTTTTATTTTTAAAAACTTTGTTTGAAAATGACCTATGAATTAAATATCTACAGTAACCAGGGCTTTTGATGTACACCCCATGGAGCCACGAAAAAATGGTTACCTTAAAAATAATCAAAACAATAGACCCCATTTATTTAGTCTATCATGGTAATGACTCAGGATTAAACCTCAGCTGGCTGTGTTTGATCAAAAGACTGATAATGAGCTACTGTGAAGTATCTGAACTAGTGGCCTTATTTCCATGACCAGCCTCAGACCAAGAGTACATCCAGGAAGGAAGTTATGAGAATTTTGGAGCAAAAGAGTATAAGGTCCATGGACATTAATGTCACAACGTAACAATTTTTAAACAAGATTTTACAAAGCAAGGTCACAAAGGACGTTTCTTATTGTAGTCCCTCATGTCACTACTTCCTCAAAAAATGCTGACAAGGTGGAAATCATTTTCTGGAACCCAAATTTCATAAGTTTTGAGAAAGACATTAGAATATAATAAAATTAAAGTGCATATTCTTACCATGTCCTTTCCTAGGAACTGAATATTTTCAATTTAGTTGTTTTATGTAATATAAGGGGGAAAGATCTACTCTTCAATAATTATGTCATTAAAAGGGAAAAACTCTACTCTTCAATATTCACAATGGTTCTTGACTTCAGTGTTCTTGAACACTTATGTTCATGAACAAATATCATGTTCCATTCAAGATCCAGTTTTTCCAGGAATATTTTGACCTTACTATTTTAAAATATTTTAAAGATCAGTAGGCAGATTTGCTGGCACACTCTGATTGTTTTGTGCTGCTGGAAGCAATATTGTAAAGTGACTTAAACTGGTTAGTTAAACTGGGTTTTCAGTACCTTTGTTTTCACATTAAATTACTTATCCTCAATGTTAAATACTCTACAAGATTGTTTTGATTCTGTGTTCCCTAAACTGCTATATTTGAATGACTGAGGTACAGAACAGTACAACTAACATGCTTCTGTGTCATTAATTAGATGTATTAGTCAAAAAGGTGTGGTTTCACTTGGGGAAATGTATCTCTTGGTCATCCTACTCAAAAGAACATCATTTATAATAACTTATAACATTTTCAGACGTCTTACTAATGCAACTTTTTAAAATAAAAAATAGGAGATGGAAACTATCTACAGATTATCTAATCCAACTTTGTACCAGTGTTCCCTACAGTTGACTGTCTCATATTTTGTATAATTTCAAAGGCCTTACATAATGGTAGCTGGATAATACCACTGTGGAAAATATTCAACAAGATGACACATTTCACTGCCAAACCATTTTCTTCAAATTCATCCTACGCTCCATTTTCTGAATTGTTACATTGTTGTTAGTAGTTTCCATATCAACTACTCTAAATTCTTTCATTATTCTTATTTATATTAATTATTATTTATATTTCAGAAACTGCCAGAGCCTTTTTTATACTATGGGCCACACAGATAGAACACCAGAGGATCCTGTCTCAAAGAGTTTAAAATCTAAGTAT